TTACGCGTGACATTGTTGATGAAGCTGTCGAGACGTCGTTTGGCGGAGTCGTCGTTGTCCACAGCCTGGTGGGTAACCCCTGGTGGTGAACTGGAAGGGCCATCCACCGTGAGGTCGATCGCGTGTGTCTTCGACGAGTCCACTGCCCACTGAATGGGGGCGTGGGGGTGGTGTCCGCAACACATAGGAGGCTACCGCATCCTCCAGGTGGGTGGCTGCCACCGCTGGTGCCTCATCTGGAAGCTGGGAGGTCGCCGAAGTTGACGGGAGGTGCTCAAGGGAAGGCCACGTGACGATCTGACTACCGACGAGCGAGGCTGCAAACTCTTCAACCATCGGGTCCTCCGAGATGTCGCGATCCTGCGTGGTGCCCGGGTACAACGTGAGCGTCAACGGGTCGGGTTCAACCATGCCCGTCGTGTTGGTCAGCCCACCGTGCCCCGTCGTGTTGGTCGCCAACGAGTGCCCCCCTGTCGACCGCCCGTGACTGTCGATGGCGACACTCGTTGCCGCAGCGGTGTCGTCCCCCTTCCGTCGGCGCTGACATCTCCGACGCCTCCGCCGTCTGCGCCCACCGCTGCCGCGTAGAATAACTATTTGATGATAGATAGTCTTTCTTGTTTATACATCCAATTGTCGGTAGGCCCTGATCACCGCTTTGTTAACATCGCATTATTTTCCTTCTAAATGTTAATGCCCTTACCCTTGCAGGATGTACTACACTACTGTCTCTTTGGGCAATCCTCCAAGGCCTTATTTTCTTGATGTTGATACTTGCAGCCATACAACATGGATCCAGTGCGACGCGCCATGCACAAGCTGTGCAAAGGTACACACCATTTCAGCTACATGCTCCGTTTTACTACAATGTCGTTGCCTGATGATCTTAATTAATAATTAGTGGAAAATTCCATGTGGCATAGTGGTTGAGGGGCTCAAGTCATGGGTTCAAAGTCCCCATTTGAAGCTCTTCTTTTTCATGATTAGCTGGATTGTCCCAAGTTCACTGGATTCTGTAATAAACATTATTCAATCTTGTTACAGGGAGCTCACCCTTTATATAGGCCCCCTGCACGGACGAATCTAGTTCCTGCCAGTGATCAACTTTGTGAAGGAGCCCAACATGACAACCCAAATCAGTGCGACTATGATATCAGTTATGCTGACGGAAGCTCCTCTATGGGCGTTCATGTAAGGGATAATATGCAGTTCATCAGTGAAGATGGTGAAAGGAAAATGCAGACATTGTGTTTGGGTATGAGTCAGCCTTCCAATAACTGATAACGTCATGACATGTATGTATAATGATGATTGTTGTTAGCACATTGTCTAAGAAACTAACTGCCATTTGTCCATCGCATACAGGTGTGGATACGATCAGCAAGGAATTCTTTTGAACAGACTAGAAAATACTGATGGAATTCTCGGTCTGAGCAACCAGGCACTAAGCCTTCCTACACAGCTAGCCAGCCGAGGTATTATCTCCAATGCTTTCGGTCACTGTATGACGAGAGATCCCAGTGGTGGTGGTTATTTGTTTCTTGGTGATGATTACCTTCCCAGATGGGGAATGACTTGGGTCCCTATCCGAGATGGTCCAGCAGAGTAAGTTGCCTCTGTCTTATGGAAAATTATTTCAGTTCGTGTGGCTATCATTCTTTCCTTGGATGTCATGCACCATTTTTAGTCAATGCGATATGCTGTGTTTGCAACATATCCTCAGCAATCTTACCATTTGTTGTCACTCTCTGAGACTGAAACCATAAAGGGGAAAAATGACTCAACAGCTTTTCTATAGCTCATCACTCTCTCCCTAATATCACACTGTCACCACATGCTTCAGGAAATGCCATGAAACTGACCTGCATGCTATGTCTCTACTCAAATCACAAATATTTAGTTGCCAAAAGCAGGTGGAAGAAATGCCTTTTTTTTAGCCTGAGCACACCAGCCGAGTAGCACAAGTTCCTACAGCATACCAGGAACTCTTCTACGTGGCCCCTTTCCTGTGAAATAAAATTGCACATGAATACGCTGTTATATAAAGTTGAAATAATAAAAGTTAGGCCATATAACTGAAGCTTTCCCTTTCTTGTGAGCTTCAGTGATATACGCAGAGCCCAAGTCCAGCAGGTAAACCATGGGGATCAGCAGCTCAATGTACAAGGGAAGTTGACTCAAGTGATCTTTGACAGTGGGTCCACATATACATATTTCCCAAATGAGGCGCTTATAAAATTGATATCTTCGGTGAGTGTCAATTCTTCTATAGATGTAATCATAAAACAGGTCAATTCTTATGTTTTCTTTTAATTTAACAGCTGAAGGCTGCATCCCCACGATTTGTACAAGATGACTCAGACAAAACACTTCCTTTCTGCATGAAAGCTGATTTTCCAGTGAGGTAACATGATCGAAATCTCTTAATTGAATGTCTTTTTTTGCTAAATTGACAGGCATTTTTTCAGATCTGTGGATGATGTGAAACGTTTTTTCAAGCCCTTGAGTCTGGAATTCGAGAAACGATTTTTCTTCTCCAGAACCTTCAACATTCGTCCTGAAGATTACTTGATCATCAGTGTAGGTTCCCATGTGATGTTTCTTACATCTGATTAATACTGTATACTCCATTTCCTATTTGAAGTACAGTAGTACACCTAAAACATCATGGTTTTCCTGGGATTCATTTCAGGATAAGGGCAATGTCTGCCTGGGGGTGCTCGATGGAACAACGATTGGTTATGATTCAGTAATAATAGTCGGAGGTATTCAGTGGTCATTTTCTTGACAAATTTCGATTGCCCAATCTATTCCTGCTAAATTTATCCTTATCTCATATTTGTTGCAGATGTTTCTCTTCGTGGAAAATTGATTGCTTATGACAATGATGAGAATGAGGTCGGGTGGATCGATTCAGACTGCACCAACCCTCGCAGACAAAGCAGAATTCCTTCCTTCCTGCGACGAGCGTTGCACAACCAAGTTCTGTAAATACTACAAAGATGCTACTGTGAAATCAGCTGACCATGCTTGTTCTTACAGACGTGAATCCTTCGTCTGAATTCTGAAACTGCCATGGAACCCTCCTCTTCTTTGGCTATAATCGTGTGGAGGAAATGTAACTACGGGATAGAAAAACGGTTACAAGACGGGGAAATAGAAAGGAAAGGTAGATAAGCATAGCTAACATATTGTACTTTGTATTCCCGCTGCCTGTATATAGTCAAAAGAAGCATAGTCGATAGCAGTTGTGGTATTTAGCTGACCATGTTTGCTATGTTTTAGAGATTAAAGTGGGGAAGCATAATCCATAGCAGTTGTTGTATTTCATTGACACTTGTGATATTTCTGATTGATATTCAGTTTCATCAACAGCTTTCTGATTGATGGAATACTGTGATAAGGATTCTAATTCGCAAGACAGTCTACGCAACTTTAATCGATATATACATTAAAGACAACCAAAACTAACAAAGAACAAGAAATCACAGTGATACAAAAACCAATATCAAATTTTCTGGTGAGTGCAAAAAAGAATGAAAAACAGGTAATTCACAAAATATACTTTGAACCCTTCACGCAATATACATACGTGCAATCAGCCAGGTGTAACATTATTTACAAGTCGCTGAAAACACAATAGAACAGATGCATAGATCAGCATTTTACCATATTGATGATTTCTGTGGCTGTAAACTGAACTCCAGCAATACAGCTTGCAATCATCTGATTGCACATTTACAAGTTTAGTGTACATTCCGTACCCCCAAATTAATTTTAAAAACGGAAACTGGATGCCAAAACAGGATTGCATGGTCATCTGAAACTGAAGCCTTGCAGGTTGTCATCAGTGTCAACTCTAGAATCCTACCATTTTCCGTATTTTATCGAAAAACCTAACATCACCTGTGCTAACTGCAGTAGGCTCCTCCACAGGATCCTTAAAGTTAGCCTTCTCACTCAACTCTTCAAATGCATTAACAACATTCTGTAGTCTGGCAACAAATTCAATCAGAAGTGATGCAAATGTAGCCAAGGACAAGGCACTTGCACTTTCATATGTTTGGGAATCCTCGTATTCAAGTGGTATGTTTGGATGGAATGATCTACGAGCAGGCCAAGACAGTAGTGGCTTAAAACCGTCAATTGTTGATGCTGAATCAAATCTGCTCAGAAATGAATTTGCAACAAAGCTCTTTGACTGATGCACTAAAGTTTGATCAACTATGGTAGGTTCCACCCCGCCATTGTTGTTTTCTTTGGCTTTGTTTTCTTTTTCCACAGCACTGGTGCCATCATTCTTGTTTTCTTTGTTCTTGTTTTCCTTTTCCACAGCACGGGTGCCATTTAAAACTTCTTTGATTCCTTGAACTTGCTTGCTAGCATCCCATCTTTCAGTGTTCACCAGAAGATATGACTTCTCATCAATCTTTTTTTGCAACTCTTCAGCTGCCATGTGAACTTCGAACAGAATACCTGAACTCAGCTTGGTCATTGTCTTAACTCTGCTTCCAAGCTCGCGCAACACTTTAGCTCCTTCCTGTCCCACTCTTTTAATCTCTGCAGCAAATACCCTTATGCTTTCTGGTGGTGCCTGGTGCAAGCGGTAGAGTCTTACCGCCTGTGACCGGAAGGTCCCGGGTTCAAGTCGCAGTCTCCTTGCATTGCACAGGCGAGGTAAGGCTTGCCAATGACACCCTTCCCCAGACCCCGCACAGAGCGGGAGCTCTCTGCACTGGGTACACCCTTTTCTTTTTCTGGTGGTGCCTAATGTCAATAATATATTTGTTTAGAAAAAAAAGATGCAGAGTCTCAACAGTTGTTGTTGACATTAAATGGACAAACCTGAATTTCTGAAAGAATGCAACCATGTAATGCCATGACTGCAAAGGAACAGTGCCTCAATGCTCCAACTTTGGTGAAACTCCTTCAAGGATAGTTCATTGTTTTGTAAGGGCCATGGGGTGGCTCCCATATAGCAAAACCAAGCTGAAAACACACTAGAAATTAAATCTGACAGCAGCACCAATAGCAATCAATATAAATCTGCTTGTAGCTGTATCAGTGAATTTCCCAATGTTGTACCCAGAGACCATAACATAACAGAATGTCAACAAGAACACACGGAATCCATACTCATACGGCTTCATCATCGGATGCAGCTTTGTCAAGGTTGTGACAAAGGCTACCAATATAAACAACGAGAATTACACTTTAGATATATTCATAGGCCCAATGAGAAAAAAAAAATTGATTGCTCTCAGAATGTAAGTGCTCACCAACAATAAGGATACTTGTTATAAGAATCACTTCCTCCAGTTTTCCCAGATGTTTGGACAATTCTGCAACTGCTAGAGCAAAAGCTCCTGCAGTTAGTGTCCCCAATCCCTGATTAAACCCTTTGCTTAAGGTTGCACCTGCATCAACACTGATGCAAATCAATTACAGAATATGGAAAAATGAATTTGCCGGTGTGCACCAGCCACTGGACCCATCTTTTCCAAGTTGAAAATTTTCCATCTAAGGGTCTAAGTAGTAGTGCTAATCAAATAATTAAAAAAAAAGCAAGCACCTTAAAGACCAGTGACAAAAAAGAAAGGTATAAGAAAGAACAGCTTCCTTAGTGGCAAATAAAAAAAAGGAATTACCTATGTTTTTTAACTTTCTGCATCACAGAAACAATACCTACAACATTTAACAACCAATCTTACTTTTTTCTTCCAAATTTTATTTGTTTTGTCCATTTGAGTAGCCATTATTCTCTGAGCGACCTACACAAAAAGGGTTTCCAAATAAATTTGATGAAACCCATAGTTTAATAAGCAATTGTGACCGGCTTAAATTTTACGGTATGATAGTTTGGACTTTGAAGACGTCTCAAGAAGCATCTGGCCTAAACTTTAAGAAGTTGTGGTCCATCACCAATGTAAATATAGTTTTAATAAAGTTACACATCCCACTGCACACAGGCTCGAAATAAAATATGCCAGCCAACAGCATAAACTAGGCAAGCACCATTTCTTAATCCATCTACCACCCGATCTTCAGCAATGTCAAAAGCCGCTCAATCACCAGGTCTTCGACAATGCCAAAAGCAGGGGGCCACGTTCAGCAGATGGGGCTAATGGAAGACGAGTTTTCCTGTCTCTGCACGGAACAACTGATTCACTCGGTCACCTAAAAGTGGACCCGTGTTGTGCATTGCTGGGAGTACAAACCTAACATCTCTAGTATCATTGCCCAAAAGAAGAGATCTCATAATTACATTTTTAAGCTGGCAGGCCCGACTGCCCGAGTGATCTTGAATGCAACGGCAGTTCGTTGCTGATCCGCAGATCAGATGAACATGGGAAGGAGTACTGTATATATGGCCATGCTCCAAGAACTGACGCGTCGGAACAGAGACAAGGGCAGCAGCCACAAATATCCCATCAGAAGATGAAGGCACGCAAGAGACTCGAGATTTGACAAACGAAGGAATTTCAATCAAGACCGAACAGTAGAGGAACCGGGCCATAGCAAAGATGACACCTTGAATTGAACGCAAGTAAACCCAGGGAAAGTCGAAGGCGGCGCGCACCGATGCTGAACTCGAAGACGACGACGACGGTGAGGATTGGCCAGACGGAGTGGATGACGATGTCGCGGGGCTCCCGGAGGAAGACGAGCAGCGAGATGAGCGCGAGCTTGCCCGCGAACACGGGCTTCCGCGGGTCGGCCCGCGCGAACGCCCACAGCTCCGCCACCGCGCCGCACGCCGCCCCCCACCAGCGGGCCACAGCGCCGCCGGCCCGGCGGAGCAGGCCCTCCTTGGGCCGCTGCTCCTCCCCGTCCCCGGGCTGGGAGGTGGTCGGCAGGGTCCAGGCCGAGGAGAGCAGCGGGACCGCCGCCCCGCGCTGGTCCTCCAGCGTCGACCACAGCGACCCCAGCCTCGCCGGCGGCGGCGCCGGTGTTGGCGTTGGCGGCCGCGCGGCCGAGGCCACGGCCATAGAAGCGGTCGGCGGAAGGTTACGGTTACGGCCTTACGGGGGGATGCATCCGCCGGTGGGGCCTGCAGGCGATACGGAAGCGAATCGCACTGGGATTGTTTGCTCTGGGCGCTCGGGTTCTGTCGTGTCCGGGAGGGAGGGAGGATGTGCAGCTGCAGAGAAGAGTGCAGTGCGCTGCTCTGTCTGCTTATCGTGATTGCGACGCCGCGGCCTGTTCGTACTCGAGATCTGCTCGCGTTGCTATTGCTATGACTCGGCGGTTTCTGCTGCAGTTCCGTGGGCTGTCGGCCCTGCGGCCGTCAGCCCGGTGGGTTTTCTACTATTTTTTTTCCTTCTCTTCCCGTTACGCAGTTTTCGGGCTTGGGCTCTTTGATTTCTTGGAAACTTGGAAATATAGGAGCTGAAAAATAAACCAAAATACTGTTCCGGCTGATTGTTGTGAGAGAAAAATATTGTTATATAAAAAAAATACTGCGTAGATGAACAGTATTTCCGTGAGTGTGCTGGCCAGCTGGCGAACACTCCGATGGCCCATCTCATTTGGTTTTGCAGACCGATGGGATGGCTCTTTGGAATATCCACCGCGGTTTTTGTAACTCCATAATAAAATGAACTGAGCATTATTGCTACTGGCTGACTTCGTATAACCTAATGTCACTTTTGTCACTTGAACGATTAGTAGTATGGCACATTTGCATCTACATTGTGCATTACTCCCTAGTTCTTAAAAAATTACTTATATGATTCTAGTTTCATTCTGAGTCAAACAATATCGGCATCTCTCTCGCGCGGTGATCACATGGCCAGCCATGGCTGCTTGTCCTTGTCAAAACACCAAAAAACCAGTCATCTCTGCGTTGCTATGTGGCCAAGAAAGCGAACGAGGCTCACCAGGAGAACAAAGCAGTTATGGATCATCTCAACATTCCCCACTCCATTCACCGTTAGACGTACTCCCACGTCCTACAAAATCCATTTGAGCGTGATGATGACAGCGAGCTAGAGGGGAACCACGAGTAGCTGCCAAAGGGGAAGTGAAAAGGTTTGATTCCATTTGGTTTGTGTACTTCTCTCGTCTTGTAAATTTTTTTTTGCACGTGATGGATGTTGATATTTGTTAACTAATAGATAAATTCATAAGCGCAAGCATGTCGGGATGTAGCTTTCGCCCAAGACTATTTTAAAGTATCGATTTTCACGAGGAACGCAGACTATACTAATCAGTGATTAAGGTCGTCTATGTTTTGTTTGGGCAAGAGAAGATTTTCCTATGGTTCCTTTGGATAATCTAAGGAGTTAAGAGCAACTCCAATAATGTTCCCTAAAATAGTTACCCTACTTGCGATTTAAGGGTTTTTTCTACTTTTGAAGGTCTTGTTTACTAGGTTAAACTCTAACGGTAGACATCTCAAATTATGGCCCCTGTTTTTAGACCTATTGGTTGGTCACATTACTCTTATTCTTTTTATTTTCCGTTTCCTGTTCACTATTCCTATCCCTGCTCCTAGTAGGGCCTCATCGGGGAGGAGGTTGGGAACGAGAGGCTTGCCGAGCAGGAGGCCGGTGACAAGGCAACCTGCCAGGGATATAGCCTTGGTGAACGTCGGAACGATATATAGAAAGATGGGATTTTAGCGTTTCTACCCCTATTCCAAAGCTCAATGGTGATTTTACCCCTTCTTTTTTTTAACTTTGTGAGTTTACCCTCACTATTTTTAAATGAAGCATCCGTTTGCCCCTACTTTTAACACCATTTGAACTGGTGGGATTAAATGTCCAAAAGAATAATAAAAAAGGAACCTAGACAAAATGACAGCACTGCCCCTCCTCGTCCTGAATAGCTCGAATCGTCCCATGGAAAGAAAAGCATCGGGCTCAGGCATTTCCCCATTCGGAGATGGGACCTAGGGTTTCGGCTGCTCCCGGCGGTGAGGTCTTCCTGGCGTCAAGGTGTGCCATCTGAAAGCCCTAGTTTGGTTTTGGATAATTGATGAAACCTAGGACTAACCTTTGATCTAAGTGTGTGAATTAGATAAGGTAGTCCAATCCAAGTGATGGAGCAAGATGATAGTCATGGTGAAGGTGGTGGCCACAAAAGAGATGATCAAGTTCTCCAACTTGGAAAAGAAGAAAGAGAAAAACAAAAACCAAGGAGATCCAAGCAAAGGTATCAAATAGGTTTTTGTTTTGACACTTAAGACACCATAGAGGGTGTAAGTGTGTTTAGAATCGATTGCCGTACTATAAAGAGGAGAAATCTTTGGCTAAGCGGTTATCGAGTGCCACTAGGTGACATGATTCTTGCATATGTATTTAGGGACCTAGTGTGCTAATAATTGACCCTTGTGAAATGCTAACACACGAGCACACAAGTTCTACACTTTGTGGTTAGAAACTTGAAAGCAAGGGTGAAACGGTTGAGGAGGTAGAAAAAGAAAAGGAGGCAAAGACAAATGACTAGACGCTGGCTTTGTCCTGACCGGACGCTGCCAAGCTAAGTCCGGTCAGTGGATCAGCCCATGGCCGAGAAGGCCAAGGTCGTCCGGATGCTAGGAATTGACGCAGGCTGTGCGTCCGGTCACTTGGTCCAGAGTAGGCGCAGCATGAGGTGGTGATCGTACGCAGGCGAGGGCACATGAACGGACATGCAGGGGCCACGTTAGGTTAGCGCTGACGTACGCTGGCGTCAGCATCGTGGGCGAGCGTAGAAAAGCGGAGTGAAGACCGGACGCCCAGGCGTGTCAGGTCACCTCTGACCGGACGTGTCCGGTCAATATTTATCGGCTCTAGAACCTCTCTGGAAACGACCTGACGCTCTATGTATGTGAGTCCGGTCGTTCAGGCATCGAGTCCGGTCGTTACTTAACATAGGTACGCGAGTGGATTTAACCGTTGGAGATCGACGCATAGAATTCAAAGGCGCGACACATGGATGGCTAGGGACGAGCGGACGCTGCCGACCGAACATTGGGGTGAGTCCGGTCAGGTCTGCACAGAGCAATGACTGTATTTGTTTGAGGGGCTCTATAAATAGCTTTTGGCCGGCTTGGGGCTCACCCTCTTAGCACTTTGAAATACTTGACAACCTTGTGAGCCTAAGCAAACACCTCTCACTCATCTCCATCATTGATTCATCATCATAATAAGATTAGGAGTGATTCCTAGTGCATTTGCTTAAGTGATTGCATCTAGTGACACTTGAGGATCGTTGTGGCTACGGATTTCTTGTTACTCTTGGTGGTTGCCGCCACCTAGACGGCTTGGAGCAGTGGAGGAGCATCGGCACGAGTTGGTGATTGTTCATGGCTGTCTCTCTATGATTGTGAGGGGTCTTGTGCCTTTCCCAGTGGAGCGCTGAAATGTAACTCTAGTGGATTACTAGTGTCATTGAGTTACCTCACTTGTGGGTAGGTTCTTGCGACGTCCATTTATTGGACTAGGTTTATGAAACACCTATTAGCCGCTGAACCACCAAGTGTTGGTCGACACAACGGGGACTAGCGTGCCAGCAAGCACGTGAACCTCGGGAGAAAAATCGTGTGTCATTGTGTGATTGGATTTCTCCCAGTGTTTGATTGGTATTCATCTTGTGATTAGTTCATTCCTCTACACGGCGGTATAATCACCCTACTTACTCTCTTATATTCTTGCAACTAGTTGTGTAGCTAGCTCTTTAGTGTAGCTAGTTTTGAGAGCTTGCTTGCTAGATTAGTTTCACCTAGCGGAGCTCTTTAGTGTAGCCTTGTTGAGAGATTTTAGTGAGTAGCAACTTAGCTTCTTGTGTGCTTAGTGATCATAGCAACTAGAATTGTTGGGATAGGTGGCTTGCAAGCTTTGTAGAGTTAGAGCAAAATTGCATCACGCCAGTTAGTGTACTAACCACTTGCTCTAGTGTAATTGTAGAGAATTTTTGTAGGCTATTCACCCCCCTCTAGCCATTTAGGACCTTTCAAGTGGTATCGGAGTTGTGGTCACCGTTTGATTGAAGGCTTAACAACCTTGGTGTCAAAATATGGCTCAAGTTGTGTTCAACCATGTGGAGGGCAAACCATCATTCTTTGATGACACATGCTATGTTTATTGGAAGAGAAAGATGAAGATATATCTTGGTTCAATGAATGATCAAGCATGAGATATGACCGAGAGTGACTATGTGATTCTTGATCCCGACAATCCCACCAACCAAGATAAGGCCAACAAGCAATGCAATACAATGGCTCTCAATACCATCTACAATGCCATTGATTCCAAGGTGTTTGAGCAAATCAAGGATTGTGAAAGAGCTAGTGAGGTGTGAAAGAGATTGGAAGAAATATATGAGAGCACACCAGCGGTTGTTGGCGGTCACTAACGACAACATTCGACCGCCAATTATTATCCAAAATAGGAGAAATAAACAATCTTTTAACACATATGTCTTTAGTATTGACATAGTTCCACTTGTATTGGAGAAAACATGTTTTGCAGGACACACATTCAAATACAAATGGAAAATATACAAAACCAAGCAAAAGGCGCAAAGCAGAAAGCGTAATGCAGAAATTCGCAAAGGAAATACATGGAGAAGCCCACCTACACATTGAATCTGGGCCGAGCACTGATGTGGGAGGGGCCAGGCCTAGCCACCAGCCCATAGCATGAAGGCAGTGCTGAGGAGGGCTGGCCTAGGTGAGACCGCACCACCCCGTCCTCCTCCTGGCCCCACCTTGCATAGGCGGGGCATTAATGATGTTTGGGGTCGGTTTAGGCTAGTTTCCTATTTTATCTCCTCTAAACCGACCACTAGCTAGTATAAATAAGGGGGTAGGGCTCATTCTTCAAAACACACAACATTTGGAGCTATCACCTCACCTCTCTCTACTTGTACTCTCTTAGCTTTAGTAATAGTATTTGGAGCTAGCAAAGCTATCAAGGAGGTCTTGGCTCCTTGGAAGAAGAGTGACATCTTGGTATGAATAGTACTATGAAGAGTTCTTCCAAAGTCTTGCTCTCATATCATT